CAAAAACATATTTCAGTCCTGATTCTTGAAGGAGGTAAGTTAAGGTCCGAGTAGTTTAGTTACGGTGCTTCTGTGATGCATAAGGACGCAATTTAATAAGCACCAGTTTTCTCGAAATTTCAGGCACACTAGGCTGATAGTAGTCAACTATTACAAATCAAGCTCAGTGTTTGCTTCATATCACTGAACATCAAAAAACGTCCATCTTTATGTGAAGCAAACTAGAATCCATGAATTATGACTTAGTCGATAAAATTCGATTAACACTGACAACTAGGCATACCATTAAACTATAGGTGATCGTTTTGTTCAAAGTACTCAATGAGTTGTCTTATATTACATCCAAAAATGCAATTCGATATGCAGAAACTTCCCTGTGTAGCTTCCGTAACTCTTTGTCATTTAGTGATAAAATATCATCCCAAATTTTCCCTATAGATGGATTAATTGGCCGAATAATATTTGAGACTGAAATAATCACTTCCATCCATTTTTAATTGCATCGATGCATGCAAATCCTCAGAAAATGCTCTAAATATTCTTACAGATGTAGGTATATTCCATATCACTAATGAAATTAAACAGTCAGCCAGTTACAACGTAGAACTTCATACGTAAGTACATCAGTTCAGGTTGCCATACCACATCAGCACAGAGACGCAAATGCCTGTTCAAATCCAAGATTGATAGTGACAGTAGAAGTATTAGTAGTAATAAAGAAGACTATGGTTCGAAGATATGATTCGAGAAGTAAAATTCAGTGAGATAAATTTCGAAGGAGAAAGATAGAGATTATGAGGAATTCATAAGGTGAGAATTAGAGAGAACACAAGGAGTGGATGCACCTGCGCCATTGCAAACGATTTTGAGCCATGTCTTTCAAGGTCTCTAACCATCGGTGACTATCGGACCCCAACCAGATGGCCTACATCTACCAACATGGCTCAGTACACTTGATAGTGACTTCATGGATTTCTGCCATGTTTTGATCTGGCCGCCCTTCGCTTTCTTCCCACCTATTCCTACACCACAAAACCTAGCTCGTCGAGGCAGTCGGTGGTTAGGCATTCGCAACACATGTGCCAACCACTTCAACTGATGAAGTTTCATTACTCCATCTATTGATCTGTCATGCTTACCTAGTACCCATTTCCTAGTCCCAGGATATACGAGCAATGCTTCGAAGACATCTATAATAGAATTCTAACAACCTACGAATAAATTCTACTCTTGCCGTCCATGTTCGCATTCATTTAGTAGGGCAGAGCGAATTGCTGCGCAGTACACTTGTCCTTTGGATAGCAGACGGATATATCACCTACGCCATAGGTGACGCAAGTTGGCAAAGGCCGATTAAGCCTATTGTATCCGTACTGAGACTTCGTCAGTCACCAGGACATTAACGCTGATGAGACCCTCGAGATGAAGTTCAGGTGCCGATGCAAAGAGATTAAACATACTACAAATGTTCAATCATTTTGTTAGACAGTTTACTAACTAACTTGCAGATACATTACACTAACACTATCCCAACCTTAACACTAAATAACATTGAACTTGATGGTCCTAACTGACCTGACCTATCGTTGCTTTTTTATTCTATACTGTTTTAATTTTTATAACTGTAAATAATTATGACTATTGGCTCCTCCATTTTTCGTCTTTTTAAGTTTATTTCACTAACTAGATTATACTTTTTTAATAATATTTTCGAACACTAATACTTTTAATACATCTACAAGTGTGGGATTCGAACTGACAATTACATCTCCGTGCTAATATTCTATGACAACTAGAACTGACGTATGAACGTACATACGAAGATTTACGTTGTAGCTGAGTAACTGACTGACAGATAATGATCTCCTCTACAAATTCTATGTACACATTTCATATACTGTTTGAGTGATCATGGTTCTTCCACTTTTTAGCCAAACAATTTGTATTCAAGTATAAGCCAATAGGGAACAGTCATCATAAATACATAGTTTCAAAAATTATTCATCAAACGATCTCACGGAGAATTTCTTGAAGACAGACTTAATTCGTTGATAGACACTACTATTTGGATATCATTACAAACTACATCGGGTTGAATATCACTTTTATGATCGATGATGCGTTCAAAATAAATGTCTGAAAGTACGACCTTTAGATCAGAGAGCCTTTTGTAAAACCTGATTTTCATTCCTTCCGAATTCCAGTCAGTAAGAGTGAATAGAGGCAACGGTTCGTGAGGCTAAGAATGTATTGCGCTAGTCATTTAGATAAAACTGGGTGAGGTGAGATGAATAACCACATTTGGGTTTTTCAGGTGTTTTGGAGACAGCACAATATTCTACAATCTTCGATAATAAACTCTATTGTCCAATTTGACATAAGGTTTGAAAATTTAAATCCAGGTTGCGGTCTTTTTTGTTCAAACTTAACGTTGGGATAGAAAAAGGTATATGAACCTATGTATTACTATGTTACTCAAAACGTCAGTCAGTCAGCTACAACGCAGAACTTAGTGAATACATACATCAGTTCAGGTTGCCATACCACATCAGCACAGAGACGCAACTGTCAGTTCAAATCCAAGAGTGATAGCGATAGTAGAACTATTAGCATTGATGGAAAACATTAAGGAGCGAAGATATGATTCAAGAAATGTAATTCAATCAGATAAATTTAGAAAGAGAGAGGTGATGAGGAATTCAGTAGGTTAGAATTCGAGAGAACACAAAGAGTGGATGCACCTGCGCCATTGCAAACGATTTTGAGCTATGTCGTAGAAGGGAGTCAAAACGTATCTATTGATTAAGGCTTAAGACAGACATGTATACATTACTTATTGTTAAGAACATACTGCAACGTAATCAGTTCATGTGAATGTGACAGTTCATACAAGAAAGTATGTACATACATTTTGATTTGTTTTAAATAAAAATTTGTTGAAATCATATGCAGTACTTCCCTTTGAACAATAAATGTTTTCAAGATAAAATCTAATCTTATTTGAAATACTACTAAATTCGTTAGCATGTCCTCCTGTAACTTTTTTGACCTTAAAGTCATGTGAATACTCCAATTATATACAATACACAATCAATCCATTGAATTGAAAAGTCTTTTAGATTTCCCATCGATTCTATTGTAAAAGTATCAAGATTTTGAAATTTTAGGAGGTTAGGAAATGTTGTGTTTAAAGAGTTCAAACGACTGAAAATGATAAACTACTTTTGTTGTATGGCACCAGAAGTATTTCACAAGACAAGCCCCTACTTAGTATCCTCAAAGCCAAATAACACAGTACACGGCAAATTAAAGAAGAATGACATGCGAAGAATGAACACCAATTAGATAGAACAGGAAAAGAAGGTCCAGGACTCAGAGTAGGTTGGAAAATGCTGGTCGGTGACCTATGATCCACTGGTGGTAACAGGTATCAGTAAGTATTACGAGGTTGTGAAGATTGTTAAGTTACACATTTTTTGAAACCATGAACCGATCAATGCTAGACCAGCATTAGAATCTTGGAAGCACTGAAAGACGGCCGTTTCGTTCTGGTATGGGACTCATCAGTGGCAGTGCGCATCCACGACTCCTGCACCCCTCATGATTCGAACCCGTTGGATACCGGCTCAGTGGTCTAACGGTTAGGGCGTTCGCGCAGAATACCGAAGGTCCTGGGTTCGAATCCTGCGGGGTGCAGGAGTCGTGGATGCGCACTGACACTGAGGAGTCCCATACCAGGACGAAACGGCCGTCTTTCAGTGCTTCCAAGATTCTAATGCTGGTCTAGCATTGATCGATTCATGGTTTCGAAAAATAAGTAAGTATGTTTAACTTTTTTTTGAAGCTGTAAGGATAATTCATGATTCGTTTTCTTTTGTATGTGTGTCTGGCTAATAATTATTGATTTATTCACACAAAACAGAATAGAACAATAAACATAACGATCAACCTCGTAGAAAACAAAAACAGGAATAAAAAACACACACACAACAATAACAATAACAACAATTTACTTTTTTACAAATTACGCGTATTTTATTTTAAATTATCAATGCCACTGACTGATTGTGATCAAAACAAACACATTTCATATACAGAGACAGAGAGAGATACATACATACACGTATGTACATTGTCATACAATGATTCTCATTTATATACAATGAACTGTTCTGCAGTTGACTGAACCTTTTTACATCAGTAATTGAGTTGAATCTGAAGAAAGAAATTTTAAAAGCAATAACAATGATAATAATAACATGAGTAATCTGTGAGCAAATAGAGTTGAATGAGAGGTAATTGACGAAAATAGTAACAAGAGTACATGTGTAAACTGTAAATACGTAAATCAAACAAACAGAGTACTATAAAGGCTAATCTCACCGTTTTAAATAGCTATGATAAACTATTAATATCAATCTTACACATGTCTAACGATAGCAATAATTCCATCTATAAAGAGTAGATCGTAACAGGGGCAGAGATAGAAAAACCGCTTTAGTCCAACAAACGTTTGATTTTCCAAATGAGCTACATTAGTGCGTGTTCATAAGTGAAGTTGTTATTAACACTTATCTGCATAATTTGATATGATTAATTGACTTCCGCACTTAAACGAACGGCATTTACCGGAGGTATACTACTAAACAAGTCAGTCAGTTACAACGTAGAACTTCGTACGTATGTAAATCAGTTGAGGTTGTCATAACACATGAGCACTGAGATGTAATTGTCACTTCAAATCCCATAGTCGTATAGGTAGTAGAGGTATTAGCAATATTCGGAAAGACTAGGGTTCGATGATATTATTCAAGAAGAAGGATCTAGAGAAATAAATTTACAAAGAAAATGATACAAGTGATAAGGAATGCAGAACGTTAGGAGTTGAGGGAACCTAACAAGGTGCGGCACGAAACTGCATTATATATATATATATATATATATATATATATATATATATATACATTTACATGAGAGTTGAGAGCTTTTCAAAATGTGTGCCCCATCCACACAGGTAGTTCTTTTGGGTTCCAGATATTCTGCACCTTCCGGATGATGGCTTTCATGGTTCTTCGAGTTCCCGCTCTATAAAATAGTACAGTTTCTACGTTTGCTTTGTACATCCTGACTTAAGTGTTTATCGATAGTTGTTTCAAGTTCCAGAAGTTCTTCAAATGAAGAAATGCTGCCCTTGCTTTGCTCGTCCGTGCCTTTACATCTGCAGCAAATCCATATTGTTAATCAATGGTGCTTCCTAGATTTATGAAGGTTTTCACATCTGCCAAACCTTCTCCGTCATGTGTGATTTGGTTGTTGCACGTCGTGTTGTATCGTAGAATCTTGCTTTTTCTTTCAGTATTTTGAAACCTACTACTGCAGAGGCGGCCGCTAGATTGGTCGTCTTCTCCTGCATTTGTTGTTGCGTGTGGGATAGAAGGGCTAGGTCATCTACGAAGTTCATACAGTCTGACTTCATCCGAGCTGTCAAATATATATTCCGTCCTTCTACCCAGAAATTGAAGTCTTCATAATTCAGTCCTTTTGTGCTAATTTTCATGCGTTTAAATTAATTAACTTATGACTTTAATTAGATGACTGCTAAAAACTAGCAAGGATTAGCCAGGTGTTTTACCTTAATATGGGACTCCTCAACGTCACAACTTTGCCGGAGAAATATCAGTGAATTTTTTCGCTCTATCATTTAACAGACCAATCATTCCAAAATCTGATCGATGAAACCTCTCCTTCACAAATTTAAAAAGATCCGTGGAGTATAACGAAAGCTGATAGTTTGGAAGTAATCAAAAGTAAACTCTTTCACTTCATAATAATCGTGTCGATTCCATGTAAAGTTTGAATGCACACTGTTGATTTATCTCACACTAAATTGATCAAGTCTTTCAAGGATGTTATGTTTTTTAACCATTAATACAAGCTGAAAAGGATCGCTGCACATGCTGGTTTTCCAAATTAAACACCTTACTGCTTTCACAGATACAGCAGTACGACATCGACCACAGACCTTTTAGTCTTACCATTTTCTCTAGTCGACCTGTCTAGCATGGTAGAACCTACATTAACATATGTTCCAGCTAATATAGTTCGGTCGGGTTATCACGATAGGGAAGCCTGACTACCTTGTCAAGGTAACAGCTACGGTCGGGATAGTAATACATACAAATCTTCCTATTAAAAAAAACACCATAGAAAATCAACTGTACATACTATATATAGTATGATACTAATAGTAGGCTGAAAATAATCAAATAAGTCATTTAGTCAGAAAAGATTTATAATAGTCTATTATACACATGCATATAGAAATTTGATTGAATCACCTTATCTCTGCGAAAAAAAGGGGCAAGTATTAATTAGTATCATGAGTTGAATGCATCGATATATTATTGTCCAATTCCATCGGTTCATCAACAGTATCCGTAGGAATTAAATGTTCATCAGTCAACTCAGAAATATAGTTTAAAATTGCCAATTGTTCTTCTAATCTACATATACGTTGATAATGTCGAGCTATAGTTTAACAACAACAACAGAAAAAAACAAGACAGGTTGCTGTTTCAAAGTTTTTTTGATTAAATAAATTATACTACTGAAAAACAGTAAAAAGTAGGTAGTATACATAAATACAAAAATAAAATTTGAATGGAGTGTGGGTTACTGCATCGAGTTAATGACAAGCTTGAATAAAGGTCACGGTGTAAGTCTACTGCATTATTCACGAAACTTTATACTTTGTGCACATACATATATTCTAAGGATATTTCGAAATCGAAACTCGACGATTTAACAACCAACAATTCAGCAGCGTCAGCAGTACGGTATGAGTTCTGTGGTGGAATTACGTTCTCTGAACTGGATATCTCGATCATGGAGGTTTCACTGTTCTTCTGAATAAAATTTATCTGAATTTTGTGCTGATGATGTTGTTCGGAAGAACAATCAAAGCTACACGACCAAAACAACTAGCTCAAAGAACAAAACTCCACCACAATCATCCACCAAAGCTACAAATTTTCTACGCCATCTCAAGTTTGAGTTCTGTTTTCAAGTCTTCAGTTTAAGTAAGATTAACTCTTCAGTTTCTCAAAAAATTATCTGACGTTGTGTATATAATGTATAGTTGATTTATATTATGAATGATATATTTTCCACGGGACAAAGTTGAAAAAGGTGTGAGTTAGTAAGAAGTGAGTAGAAAATGAAAAGAACATCAGAAACAGGTTTATTTTCATGGTGTCATTGAGGGGAAAAACATGAACTACAACCACATTGTTGTAAAAGTTGACTGTCGAATCATTTTCTGCATATGCTGGATAAGATTTATCTTAATCCCTCAATCGAAGTCATGAACAATATCTTGATGATCCTGGATCCATGAGATTCCCATCCTACAAGTGCTTTACATAGTTCTATGGTTAACATTAATACAACTCCTTGTGAATGTAGGGCATTTTCTTCTTCATGGACCGAATACAACAGCATCTCTCCTGAAATCAATGTTTTTTATCCAGCCTGCACTTATGCCATGCACTACCAACTTGTATCTTATTATTTCCGCAGCAACTTGAGTAGATCTTCCGGTCTTCCACATTGTGAGAAAATTTCAAGTACCTTAATTAATTTTTGCTATGGCTGTGAGAAAGAGCATTGAACTCATGACTTCCCGAGAAACTCAGCTTTCAGTGTTCGGCGTCACAACTTCAGCTTGTTGTCACATGGATGGATGAGCTTGCTAACCCCACACTCAACCCTCCAAATGTGTCCGTGCTTGGAACAAGTCAGTATGAAAGGCTTGAGGCGGACTACGAATGTTATCATCGAAAAGACACAGTCAGTCAGTCAGTTGCAACGTAGAACTTCGTACATATGTACATCAGATCATGTCGCCATACCACATTATTAGCACAGAGACGCAAATGTCAAATCAAATCCCATAGTGATAGAGATAATAGAGGTATTAATGGTAATGAAGAAGACTAGGGTTCGAAGATATTATTCAAGAAGTATAATTCAGTGACATAAGGTTAGGAAGACAAAGGTAGAGGTGCTGACGAATCCAGAAGATTAGGATTTGAGAGAGCTCAACGAATGGATGCACTTGCGCCATTACAAACGATTTTGAGCCATGTCGTTTAAGGTCGCTAACCATTGGTGACTTTCGTCTCGCGGACCCCAACCAGGTAGGTAGTCTACATCTACCAACATGACTCAGTCCACTTGTCAGTGACTTCATGGATTTCTGCCATGTTTTGGTTTGGCCCCCCTAGCTTTCATCCAACCTACTACTACACCACAAAACATAGCTCGTCAAGGCAGTCGGTGGTTAGGCATACGCAGCACATGTCCCAACCACCTCAACTGATGAAGTTTCACTACTTCATCTATTGATCTGCCATCCTTACCTAGCACTCGTTTCCTAACGACAGGTATTTATAAACAACTATAAATACAAGATTCTCCAGATTCATCAACCGAACACCATCAGCAACAACCTATTGTGACAGAGAACAAACCGAAAAAAGCTGGGGTCGAATGAAAAACGCTGCAGAAACCACCCAACTGCATCAAATAGCAAACCCTAACTCGAAATCATCAAGTTCAAATGAACAAGAGGCAGACCAAAGAAAAAATTGCACCAAGAACCAATGGCAGACTTCACAAAAAAATGAATATCAATTGGAAACAACTGAAAAGGAGAGCACAGGACAAATTAAGCAGGAAAATCACGACCAAGGGCCTATGTTCTACAAACGAGTAAACATATGAAAGTGATTATGTAAGCAGGTAGGTAGGTAGGTAAGTATTATGTCCAATCAAACAATCAGTCAGTCAGTCAGATGCAACGTAGAACTTCGTACGTAAGTACATCAGTTCATGTTGCCATACCACATCAGCACAGAGATGTAATTGTCAATTCAAATCCAATAGTAGAAGAGGTAGTAAAGGTATTAGAAGTAATCGGAGAGGTTAGGATTAGAAGATATTATTCAAGAAGTATGATTCAGTGAGAAAAGTTTAGAAAGTCAAAACTAGAAGTGTTGAAGAATCCAGAAGATTAGGATTTGAGAGAACACAAAGAATAAATGCACCGGCGCCATTGCGAACGATTTTGAGCCATGTCATTCAAGGTCTCTAACCATCGATTATTATCATCTCGCAGACCCCAACCAGGTAGTCGACAATTACCGACATGGCTAAGTCCACTCGTCAATGACTTCATGGATTTATGCCATGTTTTGGTTTGGCCGCCCCTAACTTTCTTCCAACCTATTCCTACACTACAAAACAAAGCTCGTCGAGGCAGTCGGTGGTTGGGCATACGCAACACATGTCCCAACCACCTCAACTGATGAAGTTTCATTACTTCATCTATTGATCTGCCATTCTTACCTAGCACCCGTTTCCTAATAACAGCGTTGCTCACTCGGGTGTCCTAGGATATACGAGCAATGCTTCGAACACCTATGATCAAACAATACAATATACTTACATGTATACGGAAGAAGATATTGTATTGATTGATTGAAATTCGGCCATTCCAATAATTCTTCCGGTGTCCAACGTGTTAGAATCCAATTCAATATAAATTGACTGATCATTGATGTTCTAGTTCTTGTATTCCAATTAATTGCATAAGATAATAGACGTTGACTTAGATTCAATGAATTGTTAACATTTTCACTGTTGCTTTTATTCATGAAATCATCAAGGACGGATAATAAGTTTATAGCTTGTGTTGGATATTTAACAGTTTGATTATTATTGCAAGTTTGTTTGACAAGATCTTGAGTTAATAGTTCTATATAAATGTGTAATAATCACAAAACACAATTATCATCAATATAAACCTAATAATAGTCAGTCAGCTACAACGTAGAACATGCTCGTATTGTTGCATCTGACTATCAGAAGCAACAATGCAAACATGTTCGGGATGCGGTTCTCACCCTCGAAATGCAAAATGTTGCTTCAAGACTGGGTTGCATCGCAACCTGAACTATTGATAGGGAGTGAAGTAGTCGAGCGTGTTGATCACTTCACTTATCAGGGGAGTCTCATCAGCGCTGATAGCCTGGTGACTGACGAAATCTCAACGCGGATACAGAAAGCTCGGTTGGCTTTTTCCAATTTACGCCGTTTATGGCGTAGTCGTAATCAATGAAGATCACAGCACAACTGTGTGTTAACTTCCTTCTTCAAATGACCTTACCGACTGTTGGAGACGGTTTCCGTGGGGTAAGGTGGTGTGACCTTTTTAGGGTAGACCTTTTCTAACCCCTTCCTTCCTTGTGAGAAAGCAGTATCGCTGAAGATGCTGGTTGTCCGAGGGGAACAGCTTACTGCTGTCACACTCCTCTACAGTCAGCAGTACGATTTCGCCCCCAGATCTTAAGTTGCTGCTTTTAGTCTTACCATTCTCCAATCGACCTGCCTGGCATGGTAGGACGCTAAAGGAACATATGTTCCAGCCAATAAAGCTCGGTTGAATAGCTACAGTCGGACAACGGTGTATTCAATCAATAAAACAAGATCAAATGAACAAGAATCTCTTACCGAAAATTAACATAAGAAAAAGTGTTTAACAGAAAACTGTTGAACCAAAATTGATTTCAATCAATATTCACAACATGAAAAACTTACCTTGTAATATATCTAATGTTCGTTTGGGTTGATCTAATTTAACCGCCAAATAAACAGCATCAGCATACATTTGTTTATGTACAAGATTATCCAGTTCTTGTTGTCTATTAGAAATTAACATGAAATAAAAATAAAGCATACAAGGATAGCAACAATGCAGTAATTGAATGGATAAACTCTGCCCCTACGGGGCTACTGTCGGTCCCAAGCCCGGATATGGGAGGAGAGTTGGGATTGGGGTTGGCGACCACTCGTTAAATAAACGCTAACAATAAAAAGTAATTCGAACCATTTAAACTCTGTCCTGGGAGTTAGAACGTCTTCAGTTGGAAGAGTTATGACGTTGTCAATTGATGAAAGCCGAGTTTCTTTGGAAGTCACGAGGCTGACGACCTTTCTGAAAACCAGAGCCCTTCCAAGGCGTTGGCAGGCGGGAAGTAACATCCTCCCTCATACCCATAAAAGCACACGAGATCAAATCGGTCACAATCAAATACTTTCTACACCTCCCAATAACTCACTTATCTCCACGACCAACCCTTCTTTCGTTCCTTTGTCGCCTCGCGCCGCTGGTGCAAACGTATCCAGTTCAGGAAATGTTATTCCTGGTCTCCTGAAGTCCCGCACTAAACTATATATTGGAGTTTTAAATATTCGAACCTTGTGTTAAATAGGGCAACAGGCTTCCTTAGCCAGGACTGTAGAATCCCGTGCCATCGATGTAGGTTATGTCTCTGAAACGCGCATACAAAATCCGAGTAAAATCATTAATTTGATTTCACCTTGTTTCGATAAAGAATCGCCTCGGTTTACTTTCATTTCTGTGCTAAAGTAGTATGGCAACCTGAACTTATGTACGTACGTGCGTACGAAGCTCTGTGTTGTAACTGACTAATTGACTGACTGAATCCAATGGATAAGAAATCAATATTTCGAAGTGTGAATGATGTGTCACTGGGGTTCGAGTGCCAAATTCTTAAAAAAAAACGTACAAATCATTAACTAAAAACAAATCTCAAAAATCCGATGACATAAGATTACGACATTACTAACTGATCATTTTCCGAAGCCCCCCACATTATCCAAACATTGTAAATCTTCATCTTATCCTATAAATCGGAATTCATATTGAACTCGATTCTTACACGTTGGACACACAACACAAATTATTTGAATGGCCTAATTTCAATCAAACTATACAACATCTTCTTCTGTATATATACATGTAAGTATATTGTTTTGAAGCTGTTAGCTAGAGTAGATTTGAGTGGACATGATGAATGATGCCTCGTTTATTGTTTGTCTGTCAGTATAACAGCACATTACTTACTAACTTACACCTGTTTACTCCCACACGGCCCGACCGTAGCTGCTACCTTGACGTGGTGGTCGGGGTTGCCTATCGTGATGACCCAGCCGAGCTATACTGGCTGGAACACATGTTCCTCAAGGTCGACTGGAGAACGATGAGACTAAAAGCAGCTACACAAGGTTTGAGGGCGAAGTCGTACTGCTGATTACAGAGGTGTGACAGCAGTAACGTATTTCCCTCGGACAACCAGAATCTGCAGCGATGCTGCCTTCTCACAAGGAACGAAGGGTTAGAAAAGATCGACCCTAAAAATGTCACACCTCACCCTACCTCACGGATTTCCGTCTCCGTCGGTAAGGGTGCCCACTAAGGGCCTTTAAGAGCGGAGCTAATACTGAAAAACCCTTTCATCAAAAGGCCGTGCGTGACAGGCCTCAAGCAGTTGTCCCTTGGGCTCTGCGGTCACGCACCAAGGTCTCTAAGACCAACGCTAATATACCTTCCTTTTCAGGTCCCTCAAGAAACAACCTTCCACGGTGCGGGCAGCTGGAAAGTGACAACCGCCCTCATACCCATAACAGCACGCGAGACCAGATTGGTCAGAATCAAATCCTTCCTACACCCACACACACCTCTCTTATCTCCACGACTAACTCTTCTCACATTCCCTTATCTGACTGCACCGCTAATGCGAAAGACGCGAGTTCGCGAAACGTCGTTCCTGGTCTCCTTAAACCCCGCTCTAGACTACATGTTGGAGCATTTAATGTACGGACATTGTCTCAAATAGGGCAACAGGCTTCCTTAGCTAGGACTTTAGAATCTCGTGCCATCGATGTATGCTGCGTCTCGGAAACGCGCATACAGGATCCTAGTAAAATTATTAATCTGATTTCACCTTGTCAAAATAAAGAAGCAGTTCGATTTACTCTTCGTGTATCCGGTAGCTCTGATGCTGCTTCCAGGGGTCTTGCTGGCGTAGGTATAGCATTGAGTCGTAGAGCTGAACAATCTCTCCTTGACTGGATCCCAGTAGATAGTCGCTTGTGCGCTGTCCGACTGAACGGGACAGTAAGGACTCGGAAAGATAGGGACATCAATCGTTGCCTCTTCGTCGTATCTGCCTATGCCCCCCACTGACTGCAGTTCAGACGAGTTCCACAGAAAGCTTTCGGACCTCCTCCAAAAAGCTAGGAGCTCTGATGGCAACCTGAACTGATGTACTTACGTACGAAGCTCTACGTTGTATCTGCCTGACTCCCACACGGAGCATATATTCGCCTTGTTCTTGCTCTGATTTCCAGTTGTTCCTAATTAGTATTCATTCTTTTATAATGTCTGCCCATGACGAGAACTGTAGTTGGTAAGTTTGAGTATTCGATAAGACATTCACTGGTCATCTAAGAATATCTACTTTGAACAATATTCTGCTTTATAACATTTGTTGATTACTCAGAGTGAATTGTTAAAATTGATTAAAAAAGCTTTTAAACCAGGTAGTTATACGATTGTGATAACAAACGGTGAAAAGAAGGTTGATCTTCGTTTAGTAACAACACCTAGTGCCCTAACTTATTTTCAAAGTACAGATCTGTGTACTCAGCTTTGAATTATCATTTTATACGTGAATAATAGTAATACTGTGGTGTGCGCTACTTATAATTAGTATATGATGCGAGTGTAAACGTAATGTCTGGCAGCAGAAGATGGGGGAAGATCAAGAGAAAGGAAGAGTTAGAACACAATGGAATTTGTATGAAACGCATGAATAGTGAAATGTCAGACAATCGATTGATGATGGATTGAAGATTTGCAAATTAACGATTTACGATATGGTTTTCCTATTTTACTGAGTAACTCTGTAATTTTCGTTAAATACAATTCGGTTGCCCTCACCTGTGTTCTCCTTCACTACACTACTACCAAGCTGTACAGACCAAAGTAGATGAAGTAGGTTGAGGACTCGCTAAGCCGTGCTTAAAAATCGAATAACTTTGGCCTTTAAAACCATCGATCTCTAAATAACAAAACATGGTTATTCACTCACTGAAGTTAACCGAATATTATTGATTTTCAATGGTTCGCGCATAATTTACTTACTAGGCAAATGATTGACAATAGTACAGTACAAATTTTATGCCTACACTGATAAACTCAAAAAAGTTAAACTTACGTTTGAATATATTCCTCTTGCTGTTGTGATGCTTCTTTCAATAATATTTCTGTAATATCCTAAGCAAATAAACAAAGTGAATACATGAACACATAGATAAGTAAGTACAGACTTATTGACATGAATGTGTTTTTACTTTATATGAAGTAGGCAAAGGTTAGTATTATGCAATTGGAGGTTGAGGTATTCTACTTACCGCTTGTAAGTCATACTAATCACACATTCGTACAAGTAGGCTATTAGGGACAAAATAAACATTTTTATTCTTGGTGACTTATAGTAAAGTTGAATAGATGTGATTTGTGAAATCTAGGGAGCATATTTCAACCTATTCGGAACTCGTACAACTTGTAATTATAAGTGGTAATTATTGATTTAGTCAGTCAATTGGAACGTAGAACTTGATATGTACGTACATCAGTTTAAGTTGGCACAGTTATACTATATTATCAACAGAGAGATGAAATTCTTAGGGCAAAAGCTATACAGCAATAGAGGAGGTATCAGTTGTATTAGAAAGAATTAGGAATCAATCAATCAATAAAGATCAGTAGAATAAAAACAAAAAATATTGTGATTCAGAAACTTTGAATTTCACTACCCAAACTCGTTTTCAATGACACAAGTGCATTCATTCTTCCTTGTCTTCCGGCAAATTCCAAGTCTAGAATTACTGGTTGAGACAATCCTGCTGAATCCAAGCAAGTAGTCAACACCGACTAACATGGCTCAGCCCAATTGTCAGCGACTTCATGCATTGATGCCGCTCCCAGCCCACTTTCGGCCTACTCCTCCACCATACAACACCAACCGTCGAGGTAGTCGGTGGTTATGCATACGTAACACATGTCTCAACCACCTAAATTGGTGAAGATTCACTACTCCATCGATTGGCCTGTCAACCGTATCTAGTAACTTTTTGCTTACTCTCAGAATATATGCTTCTAAGACAGTTATGAATATCCTAGCTTCCTGGTGCCCACACCTATAAAGTAGAACGGAACAAACTGCAGTGGATTAAACTTATCCTTTGCTTAGCAGATGGATATCTCACCTACACCACAAGTGACGCAAAGTGACAAAAGCCAGTCAGGCTTTCTGTATGTGTGCTGAGATTTAGTCAAACGCCAACTCACCAGGACCGACAAAAATCCTGAGATAAGTAAGCAGTAGATACGCTCAATTACCTAACTTTTAATCATTAATTCAGGTAACGACACATACCAATTCTGCAGCAACATTTTGCTTTTGCACTCAAACTGATTGAGATTCAAATGTCTCAACCACAAAACCACTGGAACATTAATGCCAAGAACAATATTTTAAAAAAAACTTGAAGTCATTAGAAAAAAACAACATCTACTACCACTTACTTCAAAATAACACAATGTTTCATCTTCACCACCAGTGTAGAAACCGGATTCATTTGGACAAACAGCTAATGACCATATTCTACCATCATGTGCTTCATAAACTAATGAAGAATTTTCTTCAGTGGATGGTTTATTAGAATTTTCTGATTTTTCGTCAGTCTGTTTCGGTGGCTTAGATATATTCCATAATCTTACTAAACCTTTTTGATCGCTTAAAAATATTATATTTAAAAAAACAAATTATGAAGACAGTCAGTTTAAAAAATTTGACAGATATCCGTTAGAAAAATATGAGGGAATACAGAATTTCATTGAAATCATGGATCGATCAATGTTAGACCGCTATTCGAAGCCTGGAAGCACTGGACAGTGGTTTTATTCTAGTATGGAACATATCAACACTGTTGGGTGCGAGCTCAGTAGTCTATACGTTAAGCGTTTGCTCGCGAAACCAAAAATCCCAAGTTCAATTCCCCCGGGCGATCGTCATGGATGAGCACTTCTGAAGAGTACCATACTAGGACGAAACGGCCGCCCAGTACTTTCAGGTTCCTAATGGTGGTCCTAACACTTGTAAATTCATGATTTTAATGAAACTCAACAATCTCTACAACCCTACAGAATTATTAGATTGACATATGAGTCAGCGTATATATCTCTCACTGAAGCAACTTAGTAGTAGTTAACCAACCAGAGTTATGTATACACGCAGCACTGAGTCGTAATTTCGCGTGGTTTGCCAAATTTGAAGTGGGTGATGAAGTGGAATTTGAATCGATTAACTATTTGGTTGAAATTTGACTACTTCAATTTTTGGATATCACTGTTTCTAAATTAAATTATATACTTTGTAGATGTTTTATTAAATAATTGAGAGCTCGATTGCTCAATCCGATAATTATTGATGAGAAACATTCATATTCTGATATTTGGATTCTAGACAGAACCATCAGATTAGCTGGGAGGGGGGAGGGCAAAGTGATAACTATGGACTGTGTCGTAACCAGTGGTATGAGAGTGAAGGAGTATATTGCCAGTTGAAGATTTATTTACTAAGTTGATGTGAATAGTCGATAGTACAACAAATGCCTGGGGTGAGTTCATCGATAACTACATACGTATAGGACAGTATATAGTCAGTCAGATGCAACGTAGAACTTTGTACGTAAGTATATCAGTTCATGTTGCCATACCACATCAGCACAGAGATGTAATTGTCAATTCAAATCCAATAGTAGAAGAGGTAGTAAAGGTATTAGAAGTAATCGGGACAGGTTAGGATTAGAAGATGTTATTCAAGAAGTATGATTCAGTGAGAAAAGTTTAGGAAGTCAAAACTAGAGGTGTAGAAGAATCCAGAAGATTAGGATTTGAGGGGACACAAAGAATAAATGCACCGGCGCCATTGCGAACAGTTTTGAACCATGTCATTCAAGGTCTCTAAACATCGATAATTATCATCTGTTACCACTTGTCCAGTATGTCCACAGAATATGGGGCAACAAAAAGATGAACTTACCATGATAATACTTGTTTATCATGAGAAAGAAAAACTGCTTTATACACTGGTTGATCATGACCTTCCAATGTCTGAAATAGATTTTTTTTAAAATGAACAAAGTTTTAATCATAAACACTGATGGTGTGGTGGTAGATACTACTCATTAGATCGCTTTATAAATAGTACACAGTGGACATCGTATGGAGGTTGCTACAGTGAATCGTCAAAGATAAGAGTTTCAGGCAATCAAAAGCATGATGTATTCGCCAATACTTTAGAAACCAAAAGATAAATGAGCGAAGACAGTTTAGAACTAGCGTGAATTGCAAAATTCAGGAGTGAAGACTATGCATACATAGTGCCTTGTTCTAACAATGTTGGTAATAGACAAACTACTAAAAACAACCAGACAGCTATTGAACAGGATATTCGATTCCGATATGAAATCACTCCCCGACCGAAGCTGCTACCTTGACGTGGTGGTCGGGCTTGCCTACCGTGATGACCCAACCGAGCTATATTGGCTGGAACACATGTTCCTGAAGGTTCTACCATGACAGGCAGGTCGATCGGAGAACGATCAGACTAAAAGCAGCTACCCAAGGTCTGAGGGCGAAGTCGTACTGCTGATTACAGAGGTGTGACAGCAGTAACGTATTTCCCTCGGACAACCAGTATCTGCAGCGATGCTGCCTTCTCACAAGGAAGGAAGGGTTAGGAAAGATTGACCCTAAAAATGTCACATCTCACCCTACCTCACGGATTTCCGTCTCCTTGGGTAAGGGTGCCCACTAAGGGCTTTCACTCAACACTCAAAAAGCTTCTCGTAAAAAGGCCGTGCGTGACCGGCCTCAAGCAGTTGTCCCTTGGACTCTGCGGTCACGCACCCAGGTCTCCAAGACCAACACTAATCTATCTTCCTTTTCAGGTCCCTCAAGAAACAACCTACCACGGTGTGGGCAGCCAGGAAGTGATAACCGCCCTCATACCTGTAACAGCACACGAGACCAATTTGGTCAAAATCAAATCCTTCCATGAAATCACTCAGTAATTAACATCCTTTTCATGCTCTGTTCGCCAATTAACGTCAATGATTTAAAAGACTTTATCATTAATACTGACTGTAGAGCCTCGTAATTTTGATTAAATGCACCAGAGGTTTCAAATGTATTTAGGGTAACAAACGACAAACTGCTATACAATGTGCTGATGATGCTGTTCTGCAGAACAATTAAAGCTTCACCACTAAAATATCCAGCTCAGAGAACGAAACACCACCATAATATACAGTATATGTCCTTAAATATCCATATAAATAATGTACCTACGACAATATTTAGTCAACTACCGAGAAAAGATGGTGAATAAGTAATTTTATAGACAAATGAAGTGGTCAAACTGATTAATCATTTCACTGAATAGATTCATCCTATGTGAAAAAATCTTACAAACAAATATTGAAGCATTGCTGATGTGGTAAATACTACTCACAAACATGTTCATAAGTACAACGCAGTGGACATTGTGTGGAGGTTGCTACAATCGATAGTTAAAGATAAGAGTTTCGGGAGGCCAAAAGTATGACGTGGTTGGAATACTTTAGAGATCAGAATACATGTGAGACAGAGAGAGCAAAGTTTAGAACAACTAGATAACCACTGAAGAAATATTGCGTAACAGGAAGGTGAAAATTCTGACCTAGTCATCCGAGCATTATTTCTTAATATATTCAATTGATTAACATTTGGTGAAAGCGAAAACCACGTTGTTAGTTGTAGGTAGCGAAAATCTTTACAAAATACTGTGTGCATTTAGCCAGAAATAAGTCAATTCTATGTCCATTGATAAAATAACATCCGCATTTATCTTCTGACTATCGTGCAATCTGATACAAATCAATACACCTAAGTATGTTATTCAAGCGACAAAAATCAATGAACGGATTCGTGTGGTTGAAAAGCAACACAAAATATAATTTTACGAAGTGTATTCTGAAACAGTCAGTGAGTCAGTTACAACGTAGAACTTCGTAAGTATGTAGATCCGTTCAAGTTGTCATACCACACTAGCACAGAGAGATCGAACTGTCAATTCAAATTACATAGTAGTAGAGGTAGTTTAAGTATTAGCAGTAATCAAACAATGGATGTACCTACACCATTGCAAGCGATTTCAGTCAGTCAGTAAATCAGTTACAATGTAGAACTTCGTACGTATGTACATCAGTTCAATTCTGGAAGGACTTCTATAGTTCTTATTGTAATAACTGAGGATGTAGGTGATTGCTATTTAACAGAACAAATACAAGTATTACTTCAATGAAAATGAAAAGTAGAACTGTGGATGATGATTCTATTAGGCACCACCAACCCCATACAAACTATATCGGAAATTACAATTAATCATAAATAATTGCTAATTCGGTCAGCAGTGCAACTTCGATTACATACAATTGGGAAGTATTTGACAAATTATTCAATTACTTAAGGGATGTTTACAATGCACTAACCAACAAAAATTAATCATTGAGTAGCATATTTACCATATTTGTTTTATGCTACTTATAAGTAACACAATAAATTCAACTAAAATAAAACAATTACTGAAACAATCAACTCACACGGATGCATGAAAAATCTTTCAAATTCCATAATCTCACATCTCCATCACCCGAAGCAGTAAGTACAATCTATAAAAATAATTACAAGCAATAAATAATGCAAAGTAAATTGTTTCAAAAAAAAGCAACGAGTTTAAATTACAGAAAGATCATTCATAGTATGTAACTCAACTTTTAGTTGAGTTATACTTTATGGTAAATATTTTTCAGTTTAGCTTGTGTTATGCGACTGCAAACACAGCTTTGATTCCAAGGACAATGAATTGTGTTTGAAAATATCACATAAAGTTTACCAAGTGCATGAAAGACAACATAACACAGGCATATACTCTTTAGGGAAAATCTTAACTTGGGCATATAGAAGTGTTAGGATATTCATCCAATATATCCTAAGAGAATTAAGTCTAATTCTATTGGTCAACTCTTATTGGTTAATTTATATTGGTCGTCCTAACTATCGATGCCATATACTTCAATGTTGTTTCCTATTCGACCTAACTGTATAAATACACATTGTCTGTAACGTTTTATGACCCGGATCCTTAGCCTCTACTGGATTCGGACCTCGTACTTTCTGAATGTTTGACCAATACACGTTCTACTTCATATCAAGTCTTCTTCTTCTTCTATTCAATGCGAGTTTGAGAAACTCAGATTAGAGTAGCCTGTCGGATCGTTGGATCATCGATCGTCGCTCTAGTTTACTGACTAAGGTAAACTCGTAATAGTTCAAGGATATCAACTGATGTGTTTACGTCCATGCGTAACAAAGAAGAAATTGTAAAAAAATGAGTGCTTTCAAACAGTTTACATTCATTTGCGATTTCAGTT